TGATATCCTTCATGCAGAATCCCCGTACTCAGACAGCTTTCAATTACGCTCCTTCACGTATGGCAAATCACCTCTACTCAAACGATGCATGCTCTGTCTTCACCACCAGGCCAGGTCCTGCTCCAAAAAAAGTGGTAGAGACAAACACAACAGTTCAATAGTGGCCACCTCAGGTAGCTGCAGTTCTGATCTGGCACCTGCAGTTTTGCCTCTCAGAAGGCTTTCTGCTGAATTTTTGCCATGCAGTTTAAAAATACCGACAGACCTCCGACAACAAAGAGGCACTTCTATAGGCGCGATTCTGAGAGCGATCTTGTTCAGGGAGTGAAGACACGTGGGGGGGCGTGGTCAAAAAGGTTCGATTCGGGGATTAACAGAGAAGGCACTTCGAATAACATGCTGCAGATACTGACTGGAATTCCGACGAAGGCAAGAAGCTACAGCCCCACAGATCCTGAAGACACAGCTGGCAGCTCCATCTTCACGCGGATCAGGCACGATCTCTGCACCCCAGCTCTGTTTTGCACCCGGCTGCCATGTTTCTTTGGACTGCAAAGTGCGATGCACTGGCTTTACCAGTCGGAGCTGGGCTGACTACTGCTGGTTGCCTGCAAATCTGCGTGCTAATGGCCTCGCTCTCTGCAAGAGGGCCAAGATGCAGATCGCCAAACTTGATGGTCAGCATGGTTGCTTCACTCGGTGTCCGGTGCGGCTCGAGGGCCTTCACGACAAAGGCATCGACGAAAACAAGTCCCGAGCAGTGAAAGCAACCAACACGCAGAAGCTGCATCTATGCCTTTGCCGTAGGCAGGCACTGCAGGGGTGCCACTTCTCAGAGCTCGAAGCTGGGAACGTTGAAGACCTCACCGTGTCGCCAGTCGCTACGAAGCTACAGGAGATCAGGACCGTCGCCGGTCCACTCCGAGAGCTAGGCGCTGTGGTCGACCTGGTTCACCTCAACGCCGGGCACTTCAACGCAACGGATGTGCCGCGTATAAAGTGCGCCATTGATGCTCGCTGATACGGCTGAGCTTATCCACCTTCTACAGGTGCCTGCAGCCGAAGAAACAAGGTCACAACAGCGTGCGTGCCATGTCCAATGCGTTCGTGTTCACCGCGTCTTTCTTCTTTGTGTTTGGTTCCTCTTGGTGTTGACCGCGTCTTTTCTCTAATTTTTGGGTTGAAAGTCTGGGATCCCGCGGGTACTTTGGGTAAAGCGCCGCAGAATTTCTGCTGTTAACTGCATCTCCTGCCTTTGTCTAAGTCTAAGGTTTAGGGTTCACGGCTTGGATTCGGGATTACGGCTTCGGGGTGTGCGGATGAGAGTTTTTTTTTTTTAAACGCCTTTTTCCGTCTGACAGAGCATCTCTCATCCAGAATCCGCATGTGCGGAAGGCCGTAAAAGCGGTGAGAGTTTGGGGTTTAAGCTTTTGTCCGTGGTTTTGGTGTCGGGTCTGGAATTTGCTTTTGAGTACGAAGGTTTAGGGGTTGAGGGGCTTTTGAGTTTGCATTTTTTTGCTTAGGATCCAGTGTTCTAAAGCGTAGGGTAAAGAATATGGGGTTTTGGTGTAGGCTTTCGGGTTAGGGGTTAGGAGATGAAGATTTCGGCTTTGGACATACACGGTTGTCACAGAAAAAGTCAGTCGATGCGCTTGACCATCCAGGAGGCCTCAGGACGCCCATCGTGAGCGGGATTGGTGAGAAGCTTGACCGCCTGTTCACAGGTTCTTAACTTAAGCCTGAAGCAAGACACAGATGGTCGCACATGCTCGCAACCTCCAATGCTGAGCGATAGCCACACCGGTGAGCCATCTGCCAGAGTACCTGCGCTTCATCTCACAGAGCGCGCAGTGACGAACACCCGAGAACAAATGGCCTCAAAGCGGCGTTGCCTCAACGGCTCGGGAACCTGATACCTCGGTGCTATGACAGCGCAAAATGCGCACATGGGCAGCGCAGCCTGCAGCCTGTTGGACATGTGATCTTCCGGAAAAATCTGATACGAGCAACGAAAAGAGTTTCAGCTCCTAGAGAAGTCTGAACTTGGCCGACACGCTCTGGACCTGGCAAGGTCTAGTCCGAGCAATTACAGTTAGTCTCCTAATTCCTGTAGCCCGCAATGTTTTAGTTCTAGCCCCGATCTGGCAAAGACATTCACCACGTTTGAGCGATGCACCACGGAAAGGTCGCAGGGTCCTTTTGGCCCGAACAACTCAAGAAGCGTAAAGGAACAGTCTGAAAGGAAGCAGCACATGTCACACAGCTCCCACAGCAACACATTTTCAGCTAACGAAGCATAAGAGGCAACCTACCCGGCGTCCTTGAACTGCTCCACAATCTGCTCCGGTGTCTTGCCGATGTATTGCTTGGGACCGCAGTGGTGCCGCCCTCTGGGGTCGACACCTCTGAACTAAGCCACAGGTTGAGACTTGCGATGGTACAAGTGTGTGGCTGCTGCACCTTCTGGGAGAAGTGGTCGGATCGCTCTCCGCTTCCCATTTCCCCAACACGACCTGCCAGCTTCGGAGTGCACTGCCGAGACCACGAGACTTGATTGTGGGAGCCCAATAACACAGCCGCCACAAGCCTGGAGCGGTAGCAAGGAGAGGATGTGAACAGTCCCCGCACGCCTAAATCTGCAAAAAGACATCGTGGTCTTCAAGGATCAATGAGCATCTGGCCTAGCCGGTCTAGGACTTGCAGTGGTGTAGACGGCCACATCACAGCTTGAAGGGTCGACGCTGCTGTTGTCGGTCAACAGACATTCGCGTGCTTTCTATATTTTGCAGTCCTGTCCGGAGAAGTCTTCAGAGCCTGTAAGCTTTACGACGATGAAGGGGCTGGGTTGAGCTCCAGAACTCCAGGGCTCGTGCTGAAATTCAGCCGATCTCCAATGCAAGCACCATGCCAGGAAAATCCAGGAAATATGGAAGGCTGTAAACGGACGAGACAGCCTCACACTGTGGGTCTTGGAAGCTTCGCGAGGGCAGATCTGGCATTCTCGGCATTCCGGCTTTTTTCCAGCAAACGGGAGACGATGGGAGGTTTAAGGCATGTCTTGAGTCTTTGCCAAATGCACATCCCCTCATGTACCTGCCAAACTTGGCATCCGCCGCACGAAGTGCGAGCGCGCAGGTCTCAGTCTCAGCCTGCATCCCATGACCGAACATTGCTGAAATCAAAGCAGATCTGGAGATCTGTTGGACCTAGGTCACCGTAACAACTTTTGTCCAATGACATGAGTCCGGCAAAAGTTGTCTTGAGATGCACCTGCAGTGGTCATCCCCAAGCATTTGCTTGAGATCACCTGCATCCAAAAGCCATCTGCCGTGCGATTGCCGGCAGGTGGCCTTTGACCGTAAACTTCGCTTTTGGAGGAATCGGCGGTGACCGATGTTGTGAGCGGGGCTGCCGAGGAAGTGAGATAATTCGTTTGATCCTTGGCACGAACAAGCCTAACCATCCCAGCGGTACTTATCCATTCCTGCTTCTTTCCAGCCTTAGTCTCTAGTCTTTCTCTTTCTCGGAGCACCGGGACCTCCAGGCTGGCGAGCCTATGCTGGCCGGCGATTGAAAAGTCGGGAACTTTACCTTCGCCAGGATGAACCGAAGCAGCGTAAAACTGGTGCACATGTAACTCATGTAACAGAGGTGTAGCAGGTGTTCCTTTTCTTCTGTTGCAACGCATGGAGGCTTCCATTCCCTTCAACGGTCGTAGTCCGTGAGTGCTGCGGCTCTGCTGCATTCTTTCACACTGGCTCAACGTCGCGGCGCCCAGCCTGTAACAGGGTGTTCTGGCGTGGCACTAGGTGGTCGTGGTGTTGGTCTGGAGGATGCCTACCACGACTACGACGACCACGACTACGACCATGACTACAACTACTACTAATACCACTCCTACTACTACCACCACTACAGTACCTGCATGTACCTGCAGTTCGTCTTTCTTTATGCATTGCCTCGGGTCACGACTTAATGTCAACCACGCGTCGCTCCAAAACTAATTTGCAACATGGGCAAATCCAAGTCTCAAAGTGTCTACGGCAACCTGAAATTGGATTGAAGCCGTCGGCAGGCCTCCCTCCCAGTAAGAGTAAAGACGCCGTGCTGTCGCTGCCAGGCACGGTAGTGTCTCGCAAAGGTGCTCCAAAGGAAGAAGCACAAAGGACAGAAACTCCGCTCTGAAATGTGAGGCTTTTCACTGCATTTCACTGCAGGCCTGACCAAGGCCTCCCAGTTCACCGCTAAGGCCATCGAGATCACGGCCAGAAACCACCTGAGGCAGCAGGCTGTTGTGCTCAAACGTCGCAGCTCTGCTTTACGCTTGGCGCGTCGCATTGATGAGGAAACAAGAACTGGTACCTGCGGGTCCCGACATGACTTGACATGTGAGCGCTCATGTGTCTCAAGGTCGCAAGTGTGGTGCAAGCAAGCTTTGCTCCGTGCACGGGATGATAGTCCCGAGTGGAAGCTGTCGCAGCCATGGACATGCCATAGTTGCGAGTATCAGAGAGAGGACCCATGCCACTCGCTATCCAGTGCGTCAAAGCATTGAGCTTGACGCAGCGCCTTAAAAGAGACGATTAAGGTCAGGTATGGGCCTGACCACTAATGTGGACTTCCTCAGTTAAGCACAAACTGCAGGAACTTCTCAAACTCCTTGGGTCTGAGTTTGTCTCAGGTGATCCGCGGATAGGGTGTCAGCAAATAACCAGCAAATTCGATGATGCTGTATCGGTCTTACGTTGCATTGGCATATGCGCTTCCGCCTTGTGCTGCTCTGGGGCCGTCACCTATTCCATCCATATTTCGCATTTGCGATGTGGAGGTGAAGCTAAGCAAAATGGAAGACAATGGTCTGCTAAGTTGCCCCCCTGACTGCATCCAATGTGCCTGCCCGGCTTGGAGTTCTCCTAACGTCACGACTCGACACGAGTTTAATCAAATATAGCCTTTGAGGAAAGAAAGGGGCCGCTCAGCCTCTACTTCAGTTTGTCTGCTCACTTGCGGTCAACGAACTTCCCGAGCCGGTTCCAGACCTCAGCAGTGTTCACCGGAACGAATTCTTTCGCCGGCAGCTTCTTTGGAGCCAGATAACTGAAACCACGCAGGGCATCCGATTTCGTCTAGTTGCTAGTTCAATGGCTGCGTATGGCTGCCAATTCCGGGGATGACTGATCACTTGCAGGCAGAGTCTTTGGGCTCCGGACACCGTCTGCATATTGCGCATTAAGCCCCTTCTTCCGCCTCAGTCAAAGGGTAAAGATGTGCGCAACATGTACCACATGGACTAGTCTTTCCAACCCACTTCAAAGCAGGACTATCGCCGAAATGTGACTTCGCACGCAACGTTGCGCCGTTCGGAATCTTGGCGCGGCTTACAGCTCACACAGCGCGTCAGGAAACGACGTCGTTGGACACCAAGCTTCGTAAACACAGTAGACACTAGGCTTCGCACCCCGTCCAGACATGGGTGCTCCGCCAGCCACGAGCCCAGCTATCCTCAGGCACGGTTGGTGCCTCGGCACGTACACATTGGAACATTTGTGAGTTGGGTCACGAATGTGCTTGAGCAGCCGGCTGGTAAGCCACCGTGATGCCTCGCGACTTGCCCGCATGCAAACCCTGGTCAAAACCGTTACCGCAAACATTCCGCAAAACTTGTGCTCAGTGCTGTAATGCGATGGAAAATGAAAGCAGTTCCTGTTGTTCCAGAGAGACACCTACATTTAATCGAGAGGTTAGTACCACTGATAACGCCTGGCATGTTATACAGCTTTACTCTGTGCCTCTGATGCAGAACGGCATGACCCAGTCTGTCCTGGCAGTGACTTCACAAAGTTGCGAAAAGCATTCTTCACGCATAATAAAGCATCAATATGCATCAAACATTTTGGGCATGCACACATGGACACTGTCCCTTGTAGCATTTATCTGAGGAAGTGGCGACACGGAAGTCTTCGCGCATCGTGGTCGAGAGCAAGTGGCGCCTGAACTTGGTGCGTCCAATTCCGAGATCGAAAACTGTAAAAAAAAACATGTGAATGTTGACTTGAACGCCCAGATTGTTATGCTTGTCCTGCGACTTACAACTCCCGAGCCTAAACAAGCATCACACAACTTGACTAACGTCGCCAGGCATACATCACAAGCATTGGCAGCAGACAGGATCGCCCGACGACGCGTCGACTTGGACTTCCGAGATCCGCACGGGAAAGGCAGTGAGCCCAGCGGTGGCGGGACACCTGGTGAAGTCATCAATCTGAAGTCGTCACGAGAATCAAAGGCTTCATTGTCATCAACATCAAAGCACGAAGGACTGATTCTGCTTCCATTTCTTCCTGTGTTGCATAAGCCCATGAGAATTTATGTCCTGGAAAATACTTTCAACAATCTCGCACGTCGCGCAACCGGTGCCTTCTGCATCTCGTGGCTGCGTGAAGAGCTGGGCAAAGCATCGAACGTTCGGCAGACTGTGGCTTGAATTCAAATTCTAACGCTGCTACTTCTGTGGCGTCCCGCTCAGAGATGCAAGCCTACGGCACGATCTTCATCGCACGATCAGATGACACTAAAAGACATGGCCTCACTCTTTCCTCCCGCAGGGTCTACCTTGTTTTGACAAGCTCGACTTCAGGCTCCAACCGTTGCTAGGAGCTCTTCCTTGGAGTAGTCACGAGAGTCTGGCACGAAGGCATCCTGTATTTTGCCTGGCGCAAGACGCTTCAATGGCTTCCGCTTGGCTAGCGCTCTTCGAATGTGCTCAGAGAAAACATCGAAAAGCTATGCGGAAGACTTCCGTTTGCCTACTTACTTTTGCTCTCCAATCCTGGAAAGACTTGACTGTCGTCTCGTTCCTTGCGCCGCACTATCCCGCCATGAGATGAGCGCGCAAAAACGCAGTGTCATCCTGGGCCCGAACGACCGCTGAGGCAATAATTTCTGCCCTCGCCCCCAGACCCCCGTAGCTTCAGAAAGGTACCCTTCTGCTGTGTATTTGGCAACATGGGTGTTTGATGGGGTTGACCTTGACCTCACGACACTTTGTGGCTAGTAGCGCTGTTCTTTGTCACGGCACTGCGTTGACAATGCTGACAAGACATGTTTGCGTTTGCCAACACTCTTTGTCGCACAAAGTGCTCGAGTGTGAAGAAGCACTGCACAAGACCACTCAAACAAGGTGTGGAAAGATTCAGTGCAAGGATACAAGCACCAGGGGCCTTGGGTCTTTCCGGCACCGAAACCCGGAGCCAAGAAGCTGCGCCACTCCTGCACAAACTTCGAAGCAGTTTCTCCATACTGCACAGCGCGACCTCTGCTATACTATCGGCAGTACAGAACTAGCCCCTTGTTGGTCACGGAGCCAATGGCAAAGCTAAGTATCGCAAAGAAAGAGGCAGAGAGAAGTGGCCAAACGTGCGTGTTCTACGTCAGTTGGATGAGGGCACTCAGTGACTCAGGATGACCAGCACACGGGCGATGACCAATATGAGATGCCAGCCTCGGTGCCGTGTAGCCGCGGCATGCTTGGAGCCTCGCCATCAAGCCAAGGATTGACACGTCAAGCAAATCTTCACCACAACTAGCTGAGATGAACTTGTGTAAGCCGCACGCAGACTGTGCTCGTTCAAGCTCTCCTTCGCAAGGTGTTGCTCCAGGCTAGAAGAACAAGCTTGCTGCAGGAAGCAGTCCCAAGAGCTGCACCAACGAATAGGCGCAATTCACAACGTTCTCTTATGAAGCCAAGAGTCTTGGCAGGCGTGCTGGCAAAGCCACTGTGGCAGCTGCCGCATCCCAGGTCAACCTTGCATAGTAACTCAGCGCCAATGTCAGTGCTCTGCCACAGTCTGCACACCTGCTGGACTGAGCAGTGGGCATATGTAATGGAGGGCGCCGGCAGGCAGGCAGCTCTCTGTGTCCCACCGGCTGGTATTTCTGTTGGTGCTTGTCTTGCTGACTTAAGACGGTTTTACTGATGCTGTGCTGGCTGCAACTACCTGTCAAGACTAGACTGGCCCACGCTACCACTAGCTTGCTCTTGATCATGGGTGACTGCCTGAATTCTACAGTGTTGATTGAGCCGGATGCAATGAAAAGCAATTCAGCATAGCGAAGAGTTGCCACATGCCTCAATGCAGAACACATGCACCGTGTTGCAGCAAGACCGAAAATCTAGCACAAAAATGGATACATCCTTGATCCGTGTTCCAACTCCTTTTGTGGTGGCGTCTTCGTTGCTAGTGGGGTTGGGGTGGAGTGTGGTTACACAGCGCAACACTTGCAGACGACATGGGAAACCGGCGAAGCTGGGTGCGCACCCACGTGGCTCGAGGCTCGCAGAAGCCGTGGTGAAAGCTGCATAAAGTGTTGGCAAAGTACCTCCAGCAGGACGATCTTTACATTGGGGGGAGCTGGGCAGATGATCAGCGATCGTCACAACGCTGCCTGTGAACACCGATGCACGGCAATCTCACAACATGACTGCACCGTCTCGGAAAGCATACACGGAGCTTTTTTCAGAGCGCCGAAAAAGATATCCTTCGAGCCAGCGCTTTCGCCTTAACTTTCAGCTTGGTGAGCTGCCATCTGTATCTAATTCGCTACCGACTCCGCCTTGGGATCGGACATCTCCTCGACAAGTTCCGCTGGGAACTGAGAAATCTTCAAGAAGCCTTTCCGGCAACTGACTGAGATTCACTCTGAATTCTACCTCCGGCCGTACCAGCATACATCGTCTACCACGCCCATGGTCAAGTTGCCTTTACGAGAACATCTATGCCTGCTGTGTTTGTCGTGCCCTGCTTACCCATCATCTGCTTGTGACAGTTGGTCTTGGGTATTCCGCATAGCCTTGCTTCCACACCCATTCATCGTATCCCCCGGATGCATTCCAGCCACTGATGTTGGCTTCGTTCACAAGAAACCGGCCACCTGTCAAGCACAATATGCACACAACTCGTGAGCGCAGGTGTATCGTGGATGCATGCCTTGCTTGCCCACTCATCTGTGTACTCCGGTCCAGCCCGAACAGCAAACGTCTAGCCTCCTGGCACGAACACATCGATGCGGATGTGGTCGCTGCCCTGTGCAATCTTTTCAATCGTCGACACCATTCGCTTCCAAGCCTTGTCAGGTGTGATGCCCTCACCAAAATTGCCACTCTGTGCACTCTCTGGCTTGTCTTCTCTCACTGCCACCTCGCCCGTGAGTGGAGGCGGTGCAACACAGTCAAGACAGCTGCCGTCCCGGAAGATGTATCCTGCATGGCAGTGCCATGACAACGGGTTGCAGCGACCCAAACCCTAAAGAACTCCTTGCCGACTAAGCGTCCGTTTGAGGCAAAGTTCGGAATTCCACATGCCTTTCAGTAAAGCGAAGACGTCTCTCGGAACCGAGAATTTCGTGTAGAGACAGAGCTTTGTTTCTCCGAGCCTGGTGTCCCAAAGCAGGCTGAGCTCTGTCACCCTGCTGGTGTGCATCATCGAAGCGGGCAGAGCCCTCCTCACCCGAAGACATGTTCCTTGCGATGCCAAACTCGTGCACTCTGCCGCCTCTCGCAGTCCAGATTAAGCCATATTAGCCGATGGTCCTTCAACCAGCAGACTCCGAAAACTTCTGACTCTGGTTGCTGAAAATCATGAACCACACACAGGAACGCGACTAGTGCACTCTGTTGGAAAGGTGACGTCTTTAGTTGCGCAGTCCAACCTGACAGAGATGCAGAGAGAGAGAGAGAGAGAAAACCCAAAAGAGCGAGAAGGACACAGGCCGACATGCTGCGCGAGAGAAGCGAGGGAAAAGGGACGAAGACGGGACAGACACAAAAACGGGACACGTGCAAGGAAGCATGTCCAAAAACACGTCGAAGACGCTGCGATGGTGAGGCTACATGCGCAGCCAAGGTGCTGGACGAAGGTCCACTCACAAAAGAACAGCTTCCCCCAAAATGTCTGGCACTTCCTTAGCTTCACACAAACCTCCACTTGCCTCGGAGGATTTTGCATGGCAGCCCTGCCATGCTCCCAACTCCAGTCAAAGCTGCAACTCGTCTGGTGTGCGCCCCTGTTTCTCCGAGCTCTCAACCAACTCCTGCGGCGCTTGTTTCAGACTAAGACACCCATGGAAGGCAGCCAAAGTCATGCTGGGCAGCTAAACTAAAACAAGCTCAGCCTCAATGAGCACACCAGGCCGAGTTGATTCCTCTGGCCGGGCTCTAGACACAGAGTAAGACAGACGGTCAAGAGGTGTTGTGAGCCAATCTCTAGCCGGGCAGCTGTTGCCCAATCGTCCACATGCCTTTCAGGCTGTGGTTGTGCCAGTATCCTCTGCCTATGTGTGGTGCCACAACTGTGCGGTCGGATTGGAAGCTGGCCTTTCATTCCATGCCTCTCGCAAGCCAGAGTTGATCTCATCGTGGCTTAAACTTTGGCCATTCACCAGGTTGATGCCATCCTTCATCACATACCTTGGTCAGACTTGCTGCAGGCTCTGATGACCGAGTCTTCTCAGGCTGATCCGGGTCGGGAAGCTGTGTCAGGTAGATTCAGTGAGCGGGTCTTGGTGCATACCCGCGCGGCACGTAGCTTGTCGCAGCTAGATGAGTCGGCTTAACCACGAAGCGCTGCGTCTTCAAACTGCCCAGTGCTGCAAGCCTCATTTCAGCCAACAATTGAGTCCACGTCTTTGTCGCAAGCGTCTGGGTACTGCTGACAAAGCAGCACATCTGGCGACTCGTTTGACATATGGAAGATCTCCGCGATTGGAATCCTGATGCTGGCGAAGGAGACCAGGCCGGGGCCGGAGGACCATGGCCGAGAAGTTGAACGCTCCACGAGATCAAGTGGTGAAGCCGAGATTCGCCTCTTGTAGCATCCATGTTTTGAAGAGCACCTGTCCAGCAGACGGGTGAGGCAAGAAGGCTTCCACTGGTCACTCCATTGCGCGCCTTATCTGAGAAGCGACGCAACCCAGGCGATTCACTGTCCTCTCGCTGTCGCATGAGGTCAAAGAGGCCAAGATCCGAATGAGTCCCATCCTTTGCTGCGCGCGGCACAAGCCCGATTCACAGCCAGAGCAACACCCGATAGTGCTCTCCCTTGTCTTGCACGTTTTGAAACTGCTTCGATCGATGAGTCATCCTACGAACAGCGAGCACAAAGGGAACCCATCGGCCTTCTAGTCCTCACTCCTCCCGCGTCATCACGTCCCATTCACGCCTCTGAGTACGCTACTGTTCATTGTCATGACACTATTTACGATCCCCCAGAAACGTATACACGATCATCACGTCAACCCCCGACTTCTCCCCAGCATCTGCTGTCTCTGTCCTCCTGTGACTTGTTGACTCTACTGGTTCACTGGTGCTCGCACATACAAAGACTCGCGGACAAGCACAACTACCTGACGTCAAAAGGTTGGAGTCCGAAGCCAAGCCATGAGTCTGCCATGTCAAAGGCTGGCATCACAGCATCGTCCAGATCGTCTTCCCACAGGTCCTTTCCGGCCATGCCCAAGCGGGTACACACCCCACCACACGGATTGCAGGTGCAATCGCGGCAACGACAGTTCGGCCGCAGCTCCTCCCCCAACTGCCACGGTACGACCCGTGGCAACAATCCGATGAGCCTGCCCATGCCAGCACAGCATGACTAGTTACTAGTGTCAAGAAACTGAAACAACAGAAACGTTCATGGAATTGGAAAGGTATCCACCGTCGCAATATTGGTTTCTTCCCTTTGTTCGGGAAAGCAAATTTTTGGAGCCGCAAGCTCACATCCAAAAGCGCTCCATGCTCAGTGAGAATGCTGACCATGGTCAAAGCCATGATGCACAACAAAGTCCTGCGTCCAGGCTTCAACAATGCGTCTGATGGTTGAGACGTTGATCATGTCGACATGACTCCGCTTCGCTTTGCGGCCTATGACGACCACTTTCAACAACGACGACAAAAAAGCAGGGATTGTTCAACTCATGTTAACCCTAATGTCTTCAGGCACTGCATCAGACTGGATTGCTCGACACAGGTACAGCAAGGTTTGTGTTGCAGGCCTACATCTCTACAGGAAGGTGGATAATGGCTTGGATTCGAAGAGTGGCCAAAGGCATGCTACAGGAAGATGCAGCACTGTGAGTCTATATCATTCAATTGAATTTTCAAGAGCACGCGAGTAGCAGCAACTTGAAGCTCCAGCAGTCTTGGGTGAAATCCGAACACCTCTCCCCGTAAGCCTCGTCCTCTCCGCTTTGCAGGCGGCAGTTGTTGCCACAGCACTGGGCGCAGGGTTGTCATGCCGATTCGTCGGGATCACATCCGAAGGGTTTTTGTGTAATGTAAGCGTCTGGACGCGGCCCTGCGCAGCCAGGCCGGGTCGGCGGCCAAAGGCAGCTCCTCCTCGCGGGCTTTCGCAAAGCTGGCAACTTTCATTCTGAGTTCGTGTGGGGAGGCCAGGGCTCCCGCCCTGCGCTGTACAGGAAATAGGCGAGCAAGCCTTGGATCGAATATGAAAATTTAAAACGTCCGAATCCCGTACTCCACAGAGTGGGTCATATAAGAGAGATTGACGTGCGTGCCATCCACATGCATCCAAAGCGCCCCAGCCTGCAAGGCATCCAATAGGATAGCGGAAACACAGACTGTCCCACTTCCTCCTTATGAAATTCGACGCGCACAGCAAACACGTTGCATCACCAATGTCTCCACCATGAACATTAATATTGGATCCGTCAACCTGGACATCACTCAAGGCTCGCAGTGCTCTGCCCGCATCAAGTCGAAGAAACCCGCTAAAGGGCCAGTTCTGAAAACCTGCACAATCCCTGAGCCAGCTTGCAGACGGAGTTCCTGCACGTAGAGGTACAATGACACATAGACCTCAGCCAGTGAACGTTTCAATCCGAACTTGAACTCCGAAACCTGGCTATGGCTGGAATCCAGTGTGCACAACGAAAAGCGGCCGGGTGTCGCAGTCTGGGCAGAAAGCGCGGAAAGCCACGCCAGTTCTTGGGCTGAATCGGTACGGCTCCTCGCCGATCTGCCATAGGCCTCATTACACACAAGTGCAGAAGCTGAGACATTCAAAACGCAATGGTGCGGTTCGGACATAGGAAACCATCAAGTTTCGCGCCTCGAGACACATGGACCAGCCGCCAGCGTCCGAGCAGCTCGCGGTTGAGGTCGGCTTCAATCCAATCCTTTAGATTCCTGGGTCTTGTTGCACAGATAAAAAGCACGACACCAACACACACACACACAAGCACCCACGCACACACGCACGGGTGGTGCGACTCGTGAACCACTATCGTAAAGTTCTGCTGACGGTCGTTCGCAGCCAAGCGGCGCTTGCAGCACGCTCAAGGCTGGCAGAAAGATGGACCAGACCCCATCTGTCGTTGATGACATCATCGAGGCATCTGCAAGGCATGTCTTAAGCAAAGCTGATCGGTTCGCTGGCCATGTTAACTGGCTGGCCCGCTGGCCGAAGCGAAGGAACTGGCAACCCTGGCCTCCAGGCACGATAACATGGCCTATGCCACGGCGCTCGAGAGACTGGGAAACCGCCTTGAGTGCATCCTTCCAACGTCCAGGGGAGAATGCTTCAGTTTTCTTGTTATTCGGGGGAGCTCCAATCTGTGAACAGAAGGGGTAGGCTTGAACACTCGAGCATCTTGTTCCCCAGGCAAGCACGGGCCTGATAGAGGCTTTTGGGCCGGTCTGACCGAGCGCTGCGGAGCAGGGATGTGTGGAAGGGAAACGGCGACAGGTCCATCAAGGGAATGTTGAAAACAAACCTCGGTTATCTGGTGCATAAAGGAAAACTTCGTGATTGCGTGGTCTCGCTCAGGCTCTGCATGGGTCTGTCGGGCCTCTCTGCCAAGCAGCGCTTTTTCTGGATCCTGTGCCACCCGTTTGAAGGTGCTGTGCATAACCTGACTTGAGGTACTCACAGCTTGCCACCCGCAGAGCAAAACGTGTGGACACTGAAGGCAGGTGGATGCAACTCCAGCTGCATTTCTTGTGCCTGTGCTCACTGAAGCCTGGCGACCAACTTGGCGGTAGTGCTCATTCGGTATAGCTCCGGGTCCGTGCGAACTGCAGCTGTTGACCGGCGACCATTCCTTGGCGACGCAGGCGATGCCACAGGACCGGTTATAAGCGTCTTTGTCGGTCATCTATGATTCTGGTTCGGCCGCCCCCCCGCACCCTCCCGGCCCCAATGCTAGGGGTGCTTCCCTCGCCTGTGGTAAGTATGGTGTGGTTCGGGATTTGGGTCCGCTTGGGGGTGCTTGGCATCGTCATCACCCTCGTCACTATGCATCATCACCACCACCAACCATCGCCATCGCCATCAACATTATCGTAAAAAGACAACTTTCTGGTCATCGAGTGTCTTCTGGCCACGATCCTGATGACGACTACTATATCACTTTATTGGAAAGTGTCCAGGCATGGCTTTCTTCACACGATCCTTGGTGCTTTTGGAAGAAGTGCCGACAATCACACAGGGATTCGGTGGTAGGGCGAGTGGCGAACCCGGTCGGACATCCTTTGCCTACACTGGCCTAAACCTTCTTATTCGACTAAGACAACGAGAAATGCACAAGTTCTTCACCAGGGGGATCTGAGCCAGTCTACCTGAAAGTACGCCGAAGGAATAGCTCTGTCGACATGCTGTTGCTTAGCACGTGAACACCGGAGAAGCGTATAGTATAGCGCAAAGATGAGCCATGGCACGATTCTGGAAGTCATGTTCTGCTATCGCGTGGGTCGAGTCCGAACCTTGTCTTCAGACGGGGATCAAGGCCAGCAAGGCCGCCAAGAGCGCGTGCCCACACCGGGGCCTCTGTGGGCTCTCCGCCGAACGAATCTGCTTCGGCACGGCCTGGGCAAGTTTTGATGACGTTCACATTCCCTACAGTACATTCGTATAGGATGCCAGTTGCTGGCGTGAACGTGGCCTCCACAGCCCGCGACAAAAGCTGCAGAAGGCCTTCGCTGTACCTCAACGCTTAGCTGTTATCGCGTTGAACATGCTGCCACTCTGGTCACTAGTCATACTGTACTCTCCTCTCTTCTTCAGCACAGACAAGAGAGCACGAGCAGCCCTCGCTTCATCTCGCTGCCTCTGTCTCTCTCTCCCGAGCATGAGGGTCGGTTAGGACCCCCGGGCCACAGACCCGCATATATTTATGCTGCCTTGCTTGCTTGCTTCAGAGCAAAGGCACGCAAGCACCCCTCCCCCCCAGGGCTGCCTCTCTGCCTCTCTCTCTCTCTCTCTCTCTCTGTGCTGGCACGGCACGTACATGGCCAGTTGGTCTCGCAGTGCGAGCACAAGGCCTCCCAAGTGCCGCATGACGAAAGGAGAGTAGCTAACGTTTCCAAATCTGGATTCCGTCTCTATGCGCATCGCCTGGAGCAGTGGGGTTTCTTCCGAGCAGCCAATCGACGCCAAAGATTTCCTCGGATGTCGACTTCAGTGAAAAGGCAAAGAGTAGAGCCCAGGCAGAGCTGAGTGGCTCGTCGCAGTGCAGCGAGGGAGGCAACTCCTTGAGTTGAGACAGGTCTTGCGCCTTCGAGTATCACACTTTCCCGACCAGCTGCTGCTCAAGGCCACATGCTTACGTCTTCATTGTCCCCGCCTGCTGCAGATGCTTGAGAGGTCCAGGAAAGTTCCTTGACTGATGCACGTGACATCACGCGCCTAAACCCGGATTGATGCTTGCCAGGATGCCAGCTTGGCCACGGTGGTGCTAGCGGGACGATTGCAGGAAGCGAAGTGGACCTTACTCGGCTCAACTTGTTTCCGATGGATTTGAAAACGACAGGACTGCGGACATCATTTGCGTGCACACTGCACTATGGCATTCTCTCGCGCCAATTGCTGGGTAAAGCACCAATGGTCCAGGGCTGCCCGTCCTTCCAGCTAGAACTGAGGCTTTCAGGCTGCAAACTGCTCTGTTGCAATTCAAAGCTGGATAAGCATGTCCTCTCTCAAATTTCCAGGCCAGAACCAAGAAGTGGGATGATCCATCTGGCTTGAATCGAATGACTTGGTCTTCAAATTCTGACGCTCCTTGCAGGCAAAGTTGCAGGAAATCTGTGAGAGTTTGACGGAGCGGCTTGGTATGGGCCTGTCCTGTGGCATAGAGGGCCAACATTGAGACAGCAAAGCCCTCAGGGCATTTTCGAGCATTCTCCGCGTCGAAGCGACTGAGGGCCTCTCGAGAGCAGAGCAGAAAACATCATCTGCTCTGCCCTTAACCCACGAGGTGTCCAGCACAAAACCGATACAAAACAACACCGAAATATACAACCAGAGAGTCTAACTTTGCAAGATCCGTGCTTCTTTAAGAAACGGAAGGCCGCTGTTTCCGCTCTTCGACCCCTGGATACATAGCCTGGAGGATCGCCTGGTGCGCAAGAGAGCGCGGAAGCTCGCTGCAAAGCAGGCCCAAATACCTTCAGACACAGCCAGGCTTCGAACACAAGGCAGCTGACCCTGGTTTCGCACAGGATGTAGAATGTAGACCAAGTTGGATTCGCTTTTCATCGCACCACCGCACTCGTATAGCCACGGGACGTCTGCCAGTCGAAGTCTCGCAGGCGTCCTGAACGGCAACCAGCAGGAAGTTGACCTCCTCGGCACTCGCCCTGGGCCGGAAGCTCCTCCAGACGATACGAGGCTGCAGCTTGTCACCGTCTCAAGCTGCCGAGTCTCAGTATGGATGCTATCATCGCTCAGGCGCACTACTGAGGCGTAGTTACTCCTCAGGCTCCACTGCCAGGTGGACAATCACCGCAAGAGCCAGGGCAAGTGCCTGATGCTGGAGGCCGCAGCCGCGAGAAGCCAAACAGGATCTGCAAAAAAGCATCTTATGACACTGGCACGAAAGCTCAACCGCGAACCGCGCCGTGTCACCTGTAGGATCTTCGAGGCAGCCATTGACCAACATGGCGACGCCGGGAGTCGAGTCTTCGCAGGAATGTTATCCGGTGAATTGCCAGCAGCACTTATCACGCAACGTTGTCCGCCGCTGTTTCGTGCTGTCCCGTGAACTGCAATTCAATTGCTTCTGGCTTGGCCTGTTCATCTGTCATGTGGCCCAATCCTACGAGTACCAGAGCCTACACCACGCACGGCCACTGAAGCTGGCACACGCTGGCACGCTGCTCTTGCTGCGGGTCACGTGCAGAGAAAGGATAGCTGCGCGATGTAGAGCCAGGCGAAGCCATGGTGCCAGACCAGACGCCCCACGGCCACCTCAAACAACGCATCAGATTCCTGTGTGGCTCTGCCTGTCTCCCTGTTTGTGTCTGTCTGTCAGAATTGTCTCTCCCCAAGTCTCTGCCTGTCTGGCCTGACGAACCGCAACAAAAACAAAGACTAGTGGGTATCGCATCTTATGCGGTTGTATCATTGTCTTCCTTGTGACAGTCTCCCTCCGCTCATATCCAAGGCTGGCACCCGCTCGGCCACTGCTGCAGCTAAAGTCACCGCATGGACCTGGCAAAAGTGTCGCGATGTGAACGATGGAACATCATCCCGCTGACAGCCAGAACATGGTGATGTTTCCAACACCTGTGCAGCTCACCAAACCTGCAATATCTGACTACCCCACGTTCTCCATGGACTTTGCACGTCAAACTTGGTTCTGTTTAGCTGGAGAAAGGTATGAGCATAGTTGAGCTCCTGGCTGTCCACAACAACACAACTGGAATGTTTGACCTGCGCTGATCGCAAGCCAAGGTCAAAACTCTCGAGTTTGCGCGGCTGAGTCAGCATGGGCGTCTGCAGCGCTCAGCACTCTACAATTTGGCTTTTTCACTCTGCTCGGTGCAAATCTCGAAGCACTCCCCCAGACGTGCTCAGCTGCGACGAAGGGCTGTATTGCGGTCGCCGGATCTCGCCTTACTACGATGGCACATTGCCAGTTTTTGGATTAGCACAACATGAGCAAAGACAGGCCGTCATCAAGGACCACATCATGCAACGTCTGATCTGACTCCAACAGACATCTACGTCGATTGTGCGCGCTTTCCATGTTCTGCCATCGCTTCTCTGCTTGAAACATGTTGTCTGTCTGACATGTAGAATTTTGGAGCCAAACACATGGCGCAAGACAAGTTATTGATTCTCCGCTGCTCCTGCTGCATTGCAGCGTTAACGCCAACGTGAGTGCCGACGACGTCACGCTCCATAAGCAAACCCCAAACAAAGGACCGTGATGTTCATCATCTCAGCCTGTGGCTATGAGACTCAGCGTTGCCATCTTGCCGCGCGGAAGGATTGAATTTGGAGCACTCAAATGCCTGCCACGGTCTTCTGCAAGAGCACTCCCACAGCTCTGATGGCACCCACGCCATTCTTATTGCAGCAATGAGAAAATCGTGCCTGCCAAAGGCCCGCTGTGACCAAAAAGTTTTGCAAGGCATCAATGGCCTGGCGTGGGAGCTGAAGATCGCGACAGTATCACGTTCCGAAGCTCTGCACCTGAGCGGCTGCTTTTGGATCGCAGCTGACCTTAGAGCACTTTTCAATTGCCCACTGTCCTCCTGGACAAGGTCACGTGCTTTATCGCCCTCGCGCTGACCAGAAATGCATGCCGTGACACTTGGTGCAAAGATTGGCCCTTCCTCAGATTGCACGACTCAGACTCTCCTTCCTGGTTTTGCCGCAATGAACTTGGAGGACTAGCATCGACAACTTTGTTCGTGCGCGGACTTGTCCCCCCACCCCCCGAAAGCCGCCTCCATCCGTTTGTGTTGAAACCCGTGTTCTTGGATGTTGTGTCTTGTGCATCGCAGACGAAAATCCCAAGGCCGAGGTTTTCGCATGACCACACCAGCCGTCACCAGCCATCCCGTCATGTTCTCCGGTAGGCTCGCGGGTGACAGGCATTGTCCACCTCAATGGCTCCTCCCCGGCTTTCTTGTCGTCACGACCCAGCACGAAACGGGCACAAACCTCCTCGACTGCAGAGAAAAAGAGCTGCCCTTTGTTTTTGTAAGACATGTGACTGCCGAGGTGGCACGCACCCAGCAGAGTTTTCGTCTCTTCCATGCAACTCAGCGGCTTCGGGCCGAAGAGAAGCAGTCCGCCTCCGGCTCCGATGGGCCCTCTGCGCCCTCCAGGCTGATCTGAGTCGCTTCCTGAGCTGAACTTGGATGAACCCTCTGTAGTTAACAGTCTGTGCAAGCATCGGTCAGGTCGGGTCTTACGCTCAGCGTCCTGTCGCTTGGCTCGTGGAAGCCATACAGGAGCCGACGGAGACGGCATGGGAGAGGTCTGCAGAAGCCCCGCATCCTGCAGAGATCACATCAAGTCATATTGCAGGACCGGACGACATGCTGAGGGGGGTCTTCGAAGAGCCCACCAGTCTTTAGGGCTCCTGCGCATGCGGCATGCCGCCGGCATGCCTTCAAGCCTTCTTGCAGTTGAGCAGCTTGCACGCTTGGCTTCTGGCCCTCCCGTCCAGCAGGCTCCTCACGGACACGGGGAACGGAGCGGACGGGGCACCGCAGTTCCACGATCCTGCCTGCTGCACGTCGGGACCATCGCTTGGAAGCAGCACCAACTCGTCCTCTGCGGACTTCAGACTGAGGTTCAACAAGCTCGAAACAAAGGCAACAGCCCCTGTTCGGCTTGAAACAGATTCTGAACTAACTCATCATTGGCAGAAACACTGTGCGTTGATGCCTTCGGCCCCCTCATTGGCCAGCTTGTCGGCCAATTCCTGGGCTTGTGCAGCACAGGTTTCCGGACTTCTCCCAATCGCGCTATTGCATGAAATAATCTCGCTGCAGCTAGCGACATTGCCAAAGTCGCCAGCATGGCCCTTGATCCAACTTAGTTGCAGTCGTCTTCTGGTAGACACCTCCTGGCAGAAACCACAAGCTGGTGGCCTTGCAAGCTCGAGTTCTTCTCTCCCGAAAGGCCACACATGCTGGTCCGCAGCAATCACTCCTGCCAAAGACGTTGAACCGATGCCACCAGGTCCACATTCCTGTGTGCTCGATTTTCGCCTGTCATCGCCTGGCAAGGCTCGAAGACACGGGCACCGGAGTTCTTGTTAAGTATGCGATTGGTATACTGTAATACTGCACCAAATCAACCTGCAAGCTCCTTTTTCAGGTGTCTTGTGGCCAACAAGGCCCAAGATTGAAGCCTTCTTTGCATACTGCGAGTCGTAGCAGAGCACCGCCGGCCTGAGACAAGCAGTGTGGCAATCCTCACTCATGCCGACGCATCTCTTCGTGTCTGCCCGCAGCACATCCTAAAGCCGGCTGCGCGGCGCCTATCTTTGGGCCCCGGTGCTTCGTCACGAAGCCACAAAAGGGCCTTCGAGTGAAGACTTCAATTGAGAAGACTTTCAGGTCGACGCTGCATGTGCATGGCCACAGCATGCCCATTCGCTTCGACACCGCCTCGCCGAAGGCAGTCAGCTCTGCTGTGTTGTTGGAGCACACCTTGCGCTTCGAAGATGACACATCAACGGAGTCAGCAAGATCAGATCTGGCCAAGTTCCTTCTTCCCGGGCCTCTGCGCCCAGGAAGAAAGCCGAGCTGCGGTCGACCTCCACCGGTGCGTCGACATGCGTCGACTACCTCGGCCTTCGCCCTTCGCCACCCCGCAGCGGCCCCGCCTCAACGGGCCCGAAGAGGCGGAAGGCCTCGCTCCTGCCACCAGCGGGCCTCGGAGGCTCTTTGTCGAGTCCGGCTTGGTGGTTCGTCTTAGCAGCTCTAAAACAACTTGCGAGCGCGGCGAATGCTCGAAAACTGCCACGCCCCATCCAGCGGAATGTGCCACATCGTGGACGTTTCCTGCCAACAATCAGAGGTCGCACGAAGATCTGCCCCGACAGGCGTGCATGCTATGCTCAAGAAATGGCAGCCAAGCTGCGGTTGTTTGGGCACGCTCCATCCAAGTAGAGATACCATGACTCACCTGCAGAACTGAACCGCACAGTCTGACAATGCCCACCAAACAGGTCGACCCGTCTTTCCGGTTTCGGGAGAAATCTAGTAAAGTCTAACACCATCACAGTGCAGCCTTCCATTGATGGCGCACCAGGCTTCACAAGCTCTCTTGCGCGCAGCATCTGGGAATCGCCCACCTGCGCAATCCCTTGTGACAGTCTTTCTGTCACACATTTGCGTTTCAAATCCACAAAATCTGCCATGCCTGCGGCGTAGGAATCTGCCGCTCCAAGGAAGCCTCCAATCATCGTCTGTTTGGAAGTCTGCTTGCTTGAACAGACAAGCATATGGGGGTTGAACTCGTGGGTGTCCAACCGAATTCTCGGAGACAGTAGTCTTGGCTGACTTGCGGTCTCAAGCAGCTGGCTATCGACAGCCACAGCTGCAGGGGCTGCATGGGCAGATAGTTGCCTAGAGGTTGGTGCAATGCTGTCGCCGCCGTGCTGGATGCCTACGACTTCCTTTCATGTCTGCTGGTGGTTCAGTACTTTGGTTTGCTTTGATGCTGGTCGGATGTTCCCGTGAAGCTTGCTGCCTGGCTAGCAGCAACGCAACATTTACCAGCATGTGCTGCCGCGCCTGCAGCATTGCAGTCGTTCCCGGGTGCCGCGAGGCAACCTGCAGTCTGGGTAGCTGCGACTTAGTTCTGACGTGGCCATGCAGAATTAATTTATGTTCATTGCTGCAAGTTGAGAAAATGGTGGATGGAACTAACTACTCTTGGGATTTGTTTCTGCAATTGGGACACAGTTTCGATAAGTCCATATCGGCACATTCCATGCTCTTCTTTCTCTCTCCGTTGACCTACAGCCGACGCGGCTGCACATAGAGCCCCCTCCAAGGGCTGTCAGTTCTTGCGGAGCTATGTGAGAGCCAAACGAAGAGGCCCTGAGCCTCAGGCAGTTGATCTTGCCAGGATTTAGCTATAGCTACCACCATATCGGCGAGGCGTCTATCCACACTCGGGCCGTTGCCACAGCTGTTGAAAAGCTCGGACGCCTGTAACTTACGAGTTCTTAGTTTTTATCAGCAACTCCTTTATAGAAGAGTGTTGCAGCCGGGCATGCTGCCCATCACTTCGCCGTGTAAGCCTGCCTCAATCGCAGTTTTCAGCTTCTCCTCCACCAGTGCAGCGTCCGCACCCTGGCCAAAGGCAGAAACTTCCCTGGCCGCCAAGAGTCTGCAGAGTTCTGCCCGACCTGTACAAGGATGGTGCCCTTGCCGGAATAATGGCTCACCTGGCCCAGCACCGCCGCGAATCATGAAAATGGAGCAGAGCGGCCCCTCTATATGGGAAAGAGAGCAAATTTCAGCAGAAAGACTACAGAGAGCGGTGAAAGGCCGAACCGACCCTTCCGGAAGTTACTAGACCCCTTTGAACGCTCCGGTTAGGGCGAAGGCAAAGAAGTCGCGACCAAAAGCCGTTACACCCTTCAACGCGCAGCATAATGGGAAGCAATCGACCGGCCGAAAATCA